AGCGCTGCGCATTTTAAATAAATTGTTCTACATTAAACAAAAGCAAAAGCAAAAATGTGCCAGCAAAGTGTTACAAACTTTGCTACAACAACAACGCGTACAGCTTGCAACACATCGCGCGTATGTTGTAATGCGCCTAAATGTATGCTATATGCCTTAAAATTAATATCTTTTGGCGTTTATCGCGTGCGTGCGCGCATTTATCGCTGTGCACTGTGGCGAGCATTGCAAATTAAATTTATTACTGTACTTTTAATTATGTTGCATTTAATGAATTAATGAGTAGCAAAATGTCAGCGCAAAAGGGTGCGCCAAACGCACACGCCACTGATTAATGTCATATTTTTTTCTGCATATTTTTTGCGCGCTAATTTTATACGTGCACTTTTTTGTCGGGGTTATAAATCAAGAGTTATCTTGAAAGTTGGAATTTAATTGGAAAATACGCAGCTGATGGTGGCTTTGCCTTCTTTTTTCGCTTACCGAAAAGTGTGGCTTATTTTATTCTAATGAAATTCAGTTCGCTTTTATTGGCCGCTTTTACAATGAAGCTGAAGGAAATAAAGTAAAAAAGGAAATATAATAAATGCTTAATGCTTTCGTCGATTTCCTAGAACCACGGTTTATGTCGGAAAATTCTCAAAAAATTCTATCCAATAAAAGTTGATTTAAACACGAAATTGCGAACAAAGAAGTACATATTTCAAGCTTTTTTTAATAGTAAAAATTTAATGTTGAGAATATAGTTTCTGCCATAGTCAAGTCTATAAAGAAGTTTCCCCAAAAATCTCAGGTTAATTGGTCCAATAGAACCTGAAAAATCGTTGATATTATTTCGAAAAAGACAGTTTCCAGAAAAACGCGTTTAAAGTTTAAATTTTGATCAAAGGAGGATGGAAGCCGAATGAGCAAAAAACCTACATAAGTATTTATAGTAAAACTATATAAGCACATCAAATAATGAAATTTATTTACCAAATAGATTTGATAAAGGCTTTCAATAGTTATGTTAAGTTTGATTAAGAGTTCGATCCTGAAAGCGATCTCACTTGGGCAACTTGGAACAGCAGAACGTTGTGGTGCCTCCAACTCTAATAATATTATATTTGTAGATCATTAAACCCTCACAAATCGACAAAGCGCTTTGAGCCAAACACAAATTTTTTAAGACTTTTAATGTCCGTTTCAGCTAAGTCTTCTGGTTCGTCGAAGATAAGACTGTCGAGACATTTCGTCCTTAGTCTTACAAAGGCTAGACAATAGAGGATAAAGTGTTTCCATCTCACTCTCTTTCATACAACTTAAGTAACTAGCAGCCGCCGTCAAGATCTTTTCCTTACCTCTTGAATTCTTATTGAACAGTGACCTCTAAAAACTCTTACGATTGCGGCAAGTTCGACTTTTATAAGAAAAAGTAATTCAGCAGTGCCTTCTATTGATAGCTTATCGCTTTGCAGTTACCAGCGATTTTGTCCCAAAACGATTCTGATGATGAAGTAGTGGAACAGACTAGCACTTTTGTCGAAGTGAATGCGTAGCACCCTATAAAAAACCGTATTTCGTAGTAATATGTCTACTGCTACCTTAATAGCAGCCGATTTTGTCTGAAAAACAGTACTGTGGCACGGTAGCCTAACTCCTTGACTTGTGTCGGATTGACACAAAACTTCTAACTTCGTTTCCCACTAACTTCGACTCATAACGTGAGAAAGTTCACTTCGCCTCTTCTTTAGATCTCATATCCTTCTCCGGTATGTGAGTAGGCAAAAGGCGATAGGGGTAGCCTCCTAGTTACAGTGATCAGAAATGAAATTGAAGGAGTAGATAATTTCGGCGTGTTATTTTTCTAATCCCTACTTATACCCAGATTCTCTAATCTTTATCGCACTGTGCAGCAATGCATCTGCCGGCAATGTTCATGGATGGAAAGTGTGAAATGGTATAAAATTCTATTGTTGGTGTAACCCGCTATGTATCAGATATACTTTTTATTTGCTCTCGGTAACTCTTAACCAGACGAATACATATACCAAGGAATATTATTGGCTTGTCTAGGATACCACCTTTGGTGAGAGCTCTCACCTTTTCCCGATAATTTCTCTGCAGAAATATAAGACAACCGATGCCTTTTTGCTCTCTCGTTTTCCTTGAAAGCTACTTTGACTAAGTTGTGCTAATATAGAACTTTAGATACTCGGACGTAACCGTATCGAAAAATGCAAGCAGTAGTCACTTGGTGCCAGGTGCGGACTTAAGGTTGACGTAGACGAGTTCTCGCAACGAAACTACTGGAGCTTCTAGCGAGTCACTGCCGATGTATTGTTCTGACGCTATATAGCGCTCGCACTTATAGCATGCAACGTCAGATGTAGATTACTAAGGCCAGCTATTGGTAAAATATTGGATTTCATTTTACAAGAAACATAAATGTAGTATGCCTTCTGGAGTGGTAGAAAAGCGGAGACGAATGAGAGCCAGACATTACGGATATAAGGCCATCATAGAGTCCATTGTGCCGCCGAGTGGTAACTAAAGTAAGCCTTATGCAGTAAGGTAAAAACGTAAGCTTTTTCGACCTCAGCAGCCCGAGGACTCTTCAGTTGAAGTACTGGGAGTCCCGTATTCGCTTAGATAATGTGCCAGCGTCTCATCATCCACCGATCATATTCTGCATTCTACTTTTCTAATTTTTGAAGGTGTGATTTTAAAGGTATGTACCCTATGATGATCCCTCAATGTTGCAAGGCTTCCTTTTGTTTAGAATTAGCAGCTTTTTGTCTCTTCACAAACAAAACTACCCCAAAGTAACCATGTGCTATGTCCTGTATTGTTAGTGTTCCAAGAACTTGTGTGAATGGCTTGGGACAGTTTGAAGAATTATGTCCAGCTGCCCAAGATATCTAATCAAATATCAAATACTGTAATTCCTCCTGATTCTACTGAAATATCGCACTTATTGACGAAACTTTGTAATAGATGGCAATGTTTAGAGATGGAAATCTACATCGTCAATAAACCGACAAGGTAAGATTGTTGCACAAATGTTTATTTTACTTCATTTAGTTACTTTTAAGTCCCGGAATTCTTAAAACATTACTTTCACTTTCTACAAACAAAATTTGTATGCTTTTATTTCCGAATTTAAAATGAAAATAATTCACTCTCAGCAATGCAAATAAAAGTGATAAAGCTGATTCAATTTCATATGGAAATTACCTTGGTAAATATAATATACAAAATATTTTTTTTGATATATGTATGCACTTTTCGAACACATCCGTCCAATTGTGTGTGTGATGTTTAACTTGGCTAAGCGTACAACATCGTTTTGCTACGCTAAGTGCCATTTTATGAAGGTTTTATAAATATTTGCATGTGCTATATGTATGTATGTATGTGTCGCAAAATGGAAAGGTTGTGTAAATAATAAACGAAAATTTGTTGCCATGTGCTTTATGCCATTAGTTTAATAAATTATGACTCAATTTGAAGTGAACGTACTTGAAGAAAAGGCAGCCCAGTAGGAATAGGTAGGACTTATGGTTTTTATGTCCCCAAACACATAGATGGGAATTGAAAATATTTTCGAAGTTAAAAGGGAAATAGTGACCGAGTGGCTAGCAGATATACCTATGAGCTCTTGGGCTTTTCAGATGATGTTTAAAGATATAACTATAGTTTAAGAAATTTCGCTTTAATCAATGATTTTTTTCCTTTCCAAAAAAAATTGTTTATATTAAAGCAGGCTGCCCCTTAGTATTAATTATAATTTTAATTTTAAATAAAAGTTTAATTTTTATTTTGATTTTAATTTTAACTGCAATTTTCATTTTAGTGTTAATTTTATTTTAAGTTAATTTATAGTTAAAGTTAAGGTTTGAGTTTGAGTTTAAGTTTGAAATTAACCAGCTAGAATTTAATTTTTAACATAAATTTAAAATTTTTTTCTAAAAAGTTGTCTTAAATAAAATGTTTGCATTTTCCTACAGGCAAGCTGTGATACGCACATACCTTTTCGGCCGTTATAAGTGTATATTTGCAGAAAGATTGTCATTTGTCTGTATGCGTATTCTCATGAGCTGAAGTTCCTTCACAAGTGTGAAATTTTAAAGCAAGTAAACTCATACATGGAACCATGAAGAGTTGAAGAGAAAACAGCTTACAATTTAATAACGATTCAATTTACTTATTGTTCCTGTATGCTTGGCACATACATACATACATATGTACACTTTTATATACAACTGTAGGTAATTTTCTCTAAAAACGATTACTACAGCATAAGAGCACATGCGAAATGAGTTCGAGAGCAAGCACTTCAGCAACTTTTGAAATTCGTAAATATTTTCCCTTAATGTTTGTTGTTGATGTTTGTTGCAGTTACTGAAATATGTGGCATGCTACACATACAGACGCACATTCGGGCATAAATTGAGCGAATATGTATGCATTTAAGCAAAAATACGGTTCTGGTATTTACACAGCTGGCAGTGGAACTTTGTGTCGAAAAGTACACAGTTAAAAAAACGGTTTAAAAACTCCTTCCTTCGTCTACAGTTGAGTGGCGGTACTTCATACAGCACTAACTACTTTGGCACTCATACAAGCAAATAAGTATGTGTGCGACCCAAATGCAAATTTAAGGTGGACGGATATTTTCGTAATGAACTTGGCATGCTTTGCCACATGGTTGCAAATATTTGCCTGAAAGTATGCAGCGACATTTCTGAGCTTTTGAGCAAATATTGAAATGCTGCATTTGACAAATAGAGTTTGGGCACAGTTTGAGATGTGTCACTTTGCTTGGATGTTTAGAAAATACATGTATATGAATTTTTTTGTCAAAACTAAACTATGAAAAAAATGATATCTGCAAATTTTAAGTTATTTGCTATTGCTAATTTTTTCGGAATAAGCAGCACGGGGAAAAGGTACTATATTGGTCTAGAACGCAAATAATTTGTCAAGTAATTCATTTGAAATATTGTATCGTTACTCGCCTCGAGCTTCTGAAACCCCAACTCCAAATCGTACGCGTCCAATTGTTCGCTGTGCCTACGGCGATGACGCACACCGTCACCGGGAGTCGACGTCGCGAGAGCGCTCTCCGCCGCCGTCGTGTATATGGTCATACCTGCGTTGCCAGCGCTGCCGGCACCATCAGCGACAACAACCACATTGCCATGCTCATCCATAGTGGCGGCAGTGGCGCCCACGCAGCCGCCAGCGCCGTTGTCATCGTCCGCCGTGACATATTTATCGCGATCACGTTGTCCGCGCGACTTCTGTAACACTGTTTGTCTGCAACGTGTACCACAAGCGATTGCCGATATTTTACTAGCATAATAGTACATAGCCATGTGTCACGTTTGGTCGAAGGTCCGGACGCGTTGCCCGGACATTTGTGTTTACTGGCGGAATATTGATGGCGTGCGACATGTGCGGGCGTGGGCGTGTGTGCTGAAGTGTCCGGTGTACCGGTGTGTTGTCATCTTCTCGTGGTATAACGGATATTTCCGTTTTACAGTGGAGTTTGCTTTGGTTTAAGATTTATTAAAAGTCACTAGCAATTACTTTTTCACTTTTTTTTTGTGTTTGCTTTTTCCAATTTTTCTTTTCATCATTTCACTTTAATTTTTTAAATTTTTTACACTTCTTGCTTTTGTTTGGCAATTTTTACACTAATTTTTCACTGCTGTGCATGTGTTGGTATTGCATTTGGAAAACTATTAATTCGTTTCTGTTTTTCTGCTTTGTTAGTAATTTGTTTTGATTAGCATTTTGCTGTATCAGCTTTATTTGTTTGTTGAAGTTTGTTGAATGCTCTATCGAATTTCATCATCTGCAAGTAGAAAAAAAAAAAATATTTAAAATATTTTTGTGTTATTTTCAACATGTTGTTTATTGTTTTTATATATATTGCGTCAAAAAAGTAAGTTGTAAGTAAAATTAAAAAAAGTTTAATTATATACTAATATTTATATTCCCTTCAGATGTAATATTTTTACAAGAACGATTTTTCCACTTGCATATTAATGCTAATGCTTTACATTCTTATTTAATTTAGAAAATAAGTCAACTAAAAATGTCAGTGCGTATGAGTGACATTGTTTAACAATATATTGGGTAGTCGAAAATGGTTTTTCGTATTTTGTCAGTAGAAGTCGTTGCAGTAGCATATCTCCAGTGCTACCAATCATATTGCGTCATACTACATAGTGTTGGAAAGGTACGCTGCATTTAACAACAAAAAAAAAAAAAAAAAAAAAAATTTGAGAAGTTAAAAAAAGTTACAGCTGTTTAAAAATGAGTGAAAAGAATGAAGAAATTCTCTATATTTTGATATGTTTTGAAAGAGAAGAATGCTACGCAAACCACCAACGAAACTTGTGAAGCTTACAGAGACGATGCTGTATCAGTTCGTGGAGCACCACAATGGTTTGCTCGCTTCCGTTTTGGAAATTTCGAAACTTTGATTTACACTGCTGAAAATTTCACACTGATTGAATAATGTCGCTAACGGCAAAATGGCAAAAAATGCTCTCCAAAATTTATTAGTATAACTCTAAAAACAAAATAAGTTGAAATTTGATTAGAAATACGAAAAATCTTTTTCGACTACCCAATATATTTGCTACTTGGACTTGAGCCTTTCATCAGTTATATAAATTTACTCTTTATAAGAAAATATATATATAATATTTAAAATGAAAGCCAATTTGAAAATGTCAAGGCGTATGAGCGATATTTTGTTATAATCCCCCTTAATATTTGCACCCAAAAAAAAAAAAAAAAAAAAAAATAAATCTAACTAATTCATAAAGGCACACGCTTTGAGTTAATCGAATTTTTCTTTTCACGACAAACTTTGCTTTCTCATATACGTATGTATATTCCCAAACAATTTGACAAGGAAGTAAACGGAAAGTGTAAAAAAAAGTAATCCCCAACAGAGATAATACACTTATGGCAACGATTTTTTCGGACCTCGAAACACTTTTCATACGTTGTTTTTGAAATGGTCTTCAGCGCATTTTGTTTAACTCTCCGATCAACTGAAAATGGATTCCATAGTGCGGCTAATTAAGTTTTGGGAACAAGAAAATATTACACGGAGTCAAATCTGGTGAATACGGTAGTTGATCGATGGTATTCGTTGGGTTTTATTTTGGCTTAGGAGCTGCAGAGGGATCAATTCTCTGTTTCGACTTCTGTAACGTTAGCTACAGTGGTTTATTAAGTCCCGAGTATCCGACGGTACACATTATTTGGCTACGCAGATGATATCGCTGCAATAATCACCGCGCGATACATTCAACAAGTTAAACCAACTGACAGTGAATAGATATATTTGGCTATGTATACTGAGCAGAATTATTGGCATATTAAGGCCTTTGAAAAAGAATATCACACAGCTGCTTCAAGGCTAATATCGATACACCGCACAGTTTTTGGCGAAGCTGTATTGGAAATGAGCGAAAAAGCTACATCGACCACCTCTTAACCACTTAAAAGAATGAAAATGTGAACGTTGAATAAAGAAAGATACCATATAACAATGAAAAATTCGTTACGAGCAAGGATGTTATGGTAGATGGGCATTAGCCTAGACGAAGGTATAAAAATGTTGACGAAAATATAAAAGAGTGGTCCGTCAGGAAACAAAGCGAGGAAGATTATTACATCACACAGATGAGATTTGGCACGGATATTTTAAGAAAAAACTAGATAAAATGTAAAGGGACGAAGAGCCGACACAATCTGGAACGAGCTGCAAACCATAGTCGTCCCTCCGAAAGGGGAAAACATTACTCGTATAACTGTCATGTTCCAAAACGAGACAAACTGTGTAAACGGTTACAAAAATGCGACCCGCACGCAGGTATTGACATGTTTACCTCAAAACGAGAATAATGTCACCCCGAAGCAATGTGAAAGCTGTCTCATTGTGCTCGACGGTTCTCTAGGGTGAAGTGCTTTTAGTGGACTGTAAGTGGCATATACATATTACCCATGGAAAGAAATGAGAGAAGTTTTATGAGTAATAAAGAATTTGACAAAAACATTAAAACGATAATTGCGCTATTCATCGGATTCAGCACTATTCTTTTTCTCAAGTTCATAACTTTGTTGGTTGCGCCATCATACAAAAAAAAAAAAAAAAAAAAAAAAAAAAAAAAAAAAAAAAAAAAAAAAAAAAAAAAAAAAAAAAAAAAAAAAAAAAACTGACTAGCTTTCACTATTTCAATGTTTTTTAGTAAAGATTGTATTCGTATATATATATAAGGAATCGTCTTAAACTATTCACGTACACTGCAAATGGAAAATGGTAATCAACAAGTCAAAACTGCCGCAATCAGCGAAATCCTTTAATCTTTTATCCTATGAATATTTAAAAGTAAACTGTAAATAAGAGTGAACAGCACGTTCAACAAGCCTTACGACAAACATAAGCACGCACACAGTTAGGAAGCTGTGTAACTGGATTTATATGCAGACACAGGCGGTAAAGTGTATGTGGGAAGACTAAGAAAGGGCTATTAAAGCGTTCTCGGCATCTGCTCCAATATGCTGAGGCCTTTGAGAAGATAAGCCGAGGCCTATGCAACAGCATATGCATGCATGTTAATACATAAATATTTCATAAAAATAGATACATATATTTAGAGTATGTAAATACATGTACATAATCTTGTGTTGTTATAAATTTTTTATGCACATAAGTAGTTTGATCAGAAAGCCACAAAGTCACCACTTCAGTACGCGGCAACGACAATTGCTAAGACAGGCTGAGAAACTGAGGGATGCTCCAAGGCAGGGGTGGCGAAACGGGAGTTGGCAAGTCAGTGGTCTTTAGTAAAGCAGTTGCTGAGTTGAAGTAAAGTGAAGTGAAGTACGCATATGGAATTTAAAATGAGCATTAGCTTTGATAGCCGAACATTGCCGAGAATTGTGGTCAAAAGAGGGTTAAGCGCAAATTTAAAGAAATCCAATGGCTAATGCAGGGTGTTGTTGAAATTATTTTGCATTAAACTTTAGAGAAGACAAGAGTCTGCAGTACAAGGTAAATATAATGCACTCTTTTTTTTCAGAGTAAGCTAATCATATCTTAGAGGGGTTAACATTGCATGAACGTTGAGCAGTTTTTTTTTTAAGAAGCATAGCTAGCGAGAGTGTAAACTGAGGGTAGTTGAGTGTATACTTTTATCAAAATGTGTTGGAAATAAATCTGGCTATACAAACAGGTCGAGGGAGCACTTGTGCTCTTCACCAAACCGTGCAATTTTGTGGCATCTAATAATGAAACTCGTTGCACGATACTTCGCCGCATAGTTTCCTAAAGGGCTCACAAGAGTCCCGCAAGCAATAATCTAAGCAAATGGACAGTCTCCATATTGCAAGAGCGTTATCATTACTGATTTTTATAAATCGTTACTTTAACATATTGTCCCACGAACCCCGAAATACACAAATTACTGTGCCTATATGTAAGCATGTGCGTGCGCTTAGTGCGTAACTTCGTTACAAATAAATCACTGACATTAAAAGTTCGTGTATTATACACTGGGGAACAATTTCGTGGTTATAAACAGGCGTTAAAGCAACAAGCTTACTTTAGTTGCGTGGCATTTCGCATGTCCGGAAGTAGACGCATGTGTGAATTTTGCCAAAAGATTCATTTGTGAGTACGTGTTCACTTCGCCTAGGAGCTTATCAGTCGCTAGATAACTTCAATTGACTTTTTATTGTACGTAGTAAATAAATTAAGTTGAAGAATTGGTAAAACTTCTGCACTTAAGTAATGTGAACGGCATAAGTTAGCTAACTACGGTGTATCATATATACATAGAATAACAATATTTATGGTACAACTGAGAGGGTGTGTAGGTGATGGCATAGAGGGAGTGTGGTTCAAATCCCTAAGTGAACATGTTCACATGCTGTATACACACATAAATATATAAATCAAGTAGCAATTAATATAATGGAATAAAACCCTGCACGAGTAATTCCAATCAATACTATTTAACCCCTTGGTACCGAATATTTGGACCTTCTTACATATAGTTGACTTTCTACCGCAAATATAGGTCAATGTGTGAGACATACAATTGAAATTCAGCGATAGTGTCAGCCTGACAATGACAACTTTTTATCGTGTATCTCGACCAGTGTATGAGTTATAAATATATATACTTAGTTGAACTTCCATAACTCGAACTCCTATAAGTTCTCTCTAATTCGAACTCTTGAATTGGCAATATCATACAAATTTCTTCCCACAACTCGAAGTCTCTCTAACTTGAAGGTTTTTTTTGAGGATTATGATGATTCGAGTTATTGAAGTTCAAATTTTTTTGGATTCCGAAACTGTAGTTGAAGTTTTGTTTTTCATGACTTGCGATGGATACTCTCGATTTCGCGCTCTGCATGTATGTCCACTGCAGTAAATGTCACAAATACCAACTTGTCTCAGTACTTGTCTCGTCCATCGCACTTCTTGGACGGCGGTAATGTCAGTATTTACTCTTACGAGGATATCAACCAGCTGAACCTGAACCAGATATTGCAG